ATCATCATCACTGAACATAGGCACAGGCAGAGGCTGTGCCAGGCACACAACTGTGTCTTTAGTCACTGTGCTTCCAATACTGGCAACAGCATAGATGGCATCCTTCTCCCTAAACTCCTTTAAAAACCTCCCACATCCCCACTTCCCTATGCCTTTGCTAGCGTGCTATTCAAGACGGGGTTTTTGTACTTACTCTTCATTGATTTAAGGATACCCTGGTCACATGGCAGAATTAATGAAGTCAAATTTGGGGAAAGTACATGGCACAAACATTACTTTTGACGAGCGTTTCAGATGGAGGATGAGCAGAACAGTGGTTAGGGAATAACATCTCTTAGTCATCTTCTGGTCTAGTTTCCCTGCAGTGAGCACAAGCCTCACAAATACAAAATATTTGTGAAACCAATCAGAAAAGTTGTCCCTGGTGGTCCGTGCCTTTTTGTTAGCCTAATAATAAACTGGTAAGAAATACCCTCCTTGAAAAATAGAGAGAGAGTAAGCGCTTGCCTGTCACACCAAGTTTACAATTGTGTATGCCTGCTGCATTAGCCTATGCCAGCACCGTTATCCTGGCGTCTTTAATTTCTGTGGCAGTTGTCTCATCAGCTGTGGCCAATGTCCTTCTGGGGCAATAACACCTAAACAGCAATGTTGCACTGACCCTACAGACTTGTTTTGGCATCAGATTTTCTTCAGTGATGACCTTGGCAAACTCATCAACAAGCTTCTCTGCTGCTTTGTGATCAGCAGACATTTTATCAGTACCAATATTTACGAAGTTAACGCTGCGACTTCTCTTAAATTTCTGTGAGCAGCCTGTTGAATATTGATGATTCCCTTCAATTCTCAGCTCCTGGTGATAGATCCGTGCTTGTTGCATGGATCCGCATCTCATTAAGTAGCATTTGTTCCCTGCCATACTGACAGATGCAATCTTTCAATACACATTTGCCATCTTCATTTGTAGCTTTATGCAAAATGTTTTGCTATCTTTCATTAATTTCTGTTCACCACTTTTGAAATTCAACGATTTAGCCATGTAGTCCTTCAGCTCATACAGAGCAGTCATTCCTACACCGTACTCTTTTGTAAGATGTTTCACATGTAAACCACACTGTCCAGATTCTTCACCAGCTCGATTCTCTGTCCTACACATAAATATATATGCTGCTTCTTTTTCTGATCATTGTTACCCATAGGAGTGTCTGTGGGTCTTTTTGACATTCTCAACAGGATCTTTATACCACAGAGCAGAGAATAAGGGAAACAAAACCCTAAGAATGACAAACCACAGTGAGTAATACACACGGGTCTTGGCCCCATGTGGGGCACTTCAGGGAATCCACTGCTGGCACGTCCAGCCTGTACGTTTCACACTTTATTACCCTTCCTGGGCCCCTGAGGGAATCTAAGGAGCTTAAGGAGGCTGGTTCTTTTCCTACCTCAGGGATGCTGAATACACTGTGTGTTGCCTGCCTGTGTTTTGGCTGGGACCCATCACATGAGGTTCGGTATGGAATTTTCCATTCTGGTGTCACCTGTGGATGATCAAAACTATTTTGCACTTTGGAACATTTTTGGATTAGGGATGCTCAATCTCTAGTAAGAAGGTTTTAATCTTTATTAAAAAAAGATGACGATAATGATGATTTTATGAGGGAACATGAATTCTTCAGATAAATGCTTCAATGAACAGTTTCACTCACCCTACCTCTGAGGCCACAGTTTGTCTTCTAAGGTTATTCATAAGTTTAGGGCCACTTAATGATGGTGATAATCTCCAGAGTGTCTAGACCTCTGTTGTTCAACATTGTCAGGGTAGCTGTGAGGCATTTACATTCAATTTATTTATTTTTTGGAGACAGAGGCTTACCCTATTGCCCTGGGTAGAGTGCTGTGGTGTCATCCTAGCTCACAGCAACCTCAGACTCCTGGGATCAAGTGAGCCTCTTGCCTCAGCCTTCCACATAGCTGGGACTGCAGGCACCCACCACAACGATTAGCTAATTTTTCTATTTTTAGAAGAGATAAGATCTGGCTGTTACTCAGGCTGGTGTCTACCTCCTGAGCATAAGGAATGTGCCGCCTCGGCCTGCCAGAATGTTAGGATTACAGGTATGAGCCACTGCACTGGGCCTAAATCTGAATTTAAATTAACCATAATGAAAAATTCCCTCATCCTCACACACTAGCCACATTCCAAACGCTCCACAGCCACACGTGGGCACCACTTAGACAGTACAGATCTAGACCAATTCTACCGCTGCAGAATGTATTATGAGACAGCACTGGACACTTCAGGGTTTATGTAGCTGAATTCCAAAAACGTGTTGAGCAAATGAACTATTCAAACATAAACGTAATAGTACATTGTAAATGGAGGTCATTTACTCATCATTGGGAAAGTTCTAATAGATTCCTGGAATTTGGTCCCTAAGATCAACTTTGTAGGGGCTGTAGGCAGTGAGGTCTTAAGCCCCAGGCATCAATAATCCCTGCTCTGGGCCTTCCATTTTAGAGGACCCTAACCTGGCTCTTCCTCCCACGGGGTCAAAAATCTCCAAAGCACTACCCAGATCCCACCATGCCTTTCCATTTTAGACCCTGCAGTTCCCAGACTGAAATTCCTAAGGCCCCTTTCAGGCCCTGAGATGGTCTCTTCTCAGAATCGTCCTCCCTGTGAGGAATAAAATGACCACTATGGACATCCCTGGTCCTGAATGGCAGCTAAAGGGTGGCTATTTGAAAGTGCGGCCAGAGCACAGTTCGAGGGGCTGGGTTGTCCACACACAGCTGCAAAAAGTCCTTGTTCTTGGATGAAGACAGAAAAAGAAAGCAAATGGGCTGGACGTCTACAGGCCAAGGCGTGGGCTCTGACTCTTGTCTGCCACGTTTCAGGGTCAAAATCCAAGGTATCCGGGCGGGCGCCTGTGGCTCAGTGGGCAGGGCGCCGGCTCCACATACTGCGAGTGGCAGGTTCAAAGCCGGGCCTGGCCAAACTGCAACCAAAAATACCCGGGCGTTGTGGCGGGCGCCTGTAGTCCTAGCTACTCGGGAGGCTAAGGTAAAAGAATGGCTTAAGCTCAGGAGCTGGAGGTTGCTGTGAGCTGTTTGATGCCACGGCACTCTACCCAGGGCGACAAAGTGAAACTCTGCCTCAAAAATCCAAGGTATCCTAGACTTGTGCTTAGGAACTTAGCCTTCCAGGTTGTTATGAAGGTATAGGGTTCAAGGTAGGAGAACAGAACTTACTTGTTACTTTGATACGTTCCTCTTACATTTTTAAACATAGTAGGCTCTGGACTTGCAAATGTCTGCGGGCCTTGCAGTCTGAGAGCGCTGGATTCAGGTGGGGTTTCTCGCCCGGGTTGCTGGAACTCGTGAACATCTGAGGTGTCTTCGGACATCAGAGAGATTTCCTCTGCACGGAGGGACCATACTGGTTGCTGAAGGCCAGAAAAAGCTTCAGCGCGTTCACGTTACTGGGAACCTGCTTTCTTGCTCTGATGTGTTTGGAAGTGAGGCCTCCTCAGTGAGCGGGACGGCGACTGCTTCAGGACACTTGGTCTTGTGCACTTCACCCCTGGGGTTGTTGGCGCGGGGTTGCCCGCGCTGCCCTTCTCCCCACTCTGTCCTCGCGGCCGGGGCTCCTCAGACAGAGTGGGCGGTCCCCACGGGCGCACAGGGCGGCTTTGTCTGGAGGGCAGTGGCGGCGAAGGGGAATGTGCGGTAGAGTAGCCGCAGAGGCTGGAGTTTGGACTAGAACTTTCCTCCGCCCTCTCCACGAGTTGCCGGCCTCCCGCGGGCTCCTCCACAGCTCCCGCCCGAGGTGGCGGGCCGGCGCGGG